ATAATGAATAAATAAATATTTAAATAAATGTCATTAGTTTCGGGGTTGTGTAGTTATCTTTGTAATACGTACTTTTTTGTTTTTAATTTGAAGTGCATAAGAAAAGTGTTCTTTATCTTGTTCTTAGTCTAGATGTGTTGGTTTCGATACTGTTGAAAAAAAAAATGAGGAAATTAAAAACAATAAGAAAAGAACCCGTGGCCTTATAATCCAGTGCCCTTTAATACGAACGTGTAACGATAAAATAGTTACAATAATAATAATACTCGACTTTCAAATCAAATGTTATATTTTTATAATAATAATAAGTTTCTGTTGTTGATGCTTACATTTCAAACGAATGTCTTAATTTAGTCCAAAGGTGTTAATGTTAATTGGACATTCTTGATGAATCTTCTTCTTTTATAAAGGTATTGACCGTACGAAAAAAAATATTAAAGTACAAAACGATACTTGTGTTTAAACATTTTAAATGGTAGTACACTTTTCATCACAAAACATTATAGGGTCGTCAGTCCCACTGGTTGGACATGCACTCCTACTACGTCCCCTACTACTCTTGTCTCAGAAGGTGTTCTATCACCCTGTCTTTCATTGATTTCCACTGCGCCATCTGCTTTATATTTTCCAGTACCTTCTCGTTTCTAACCTTTTCTATCCAACAAAACCACTACATCACAAACGCTTCCAACTTTTTCTTGTATATCGCGCACACTATCCGCATTTCGCACCCGTAAAGAGCCGTGCTCTATACACTTTCAATAATATTTTTCACATTTCCAAAATAGCCGTTTGCGAACACAGAAGTGAATTATTTTTGTTAAAAACGACTTGAACCTGTGCTATTATGTCTCCATGGCTTCCCGACTGGAAATTAAACTAGTATAGGGTCCGATCTGGATCAGGATTGCCTGAAGACTGATCAGGGATTAATCAGGCATCCTAAACAGGATATGATTAAAAATCGTCACACCGTATCCGTTTAAAAGATCCATGTCGAATACGTTCCAAAGATCCATGCCGGATCAATCGATAGGCTACTGTACTGATCAGATAGACAAATCAAGGGAAAGTATGCTATACTTTGGTCAATTTCTGATCAGATGACTGGACCAATGGATAGATTACTGTACGCTGATCAGTTCCTGATCAGGTAAAAAGATCAAGGTATAGAATACTGTGATCAAATGGCCGTATTACTGATCATAATCCGGGTTCCCTGAACTAATTTCCAGTCACGAATTTCCGTCTTGAGTTATCCGACTTTCTTAAATATCGAAAATCGACAAATTGTAGTTATTCGTCATCCGTCAGTTTTCATTTTCTTTTATGTACGATGTTTAAATAATAGAGTAAATAACAAGTGCCCTAAACTTTTGTTGTTTAAAACAAGCAACGTTATCGAAACAAGCACATCTAATACCTATTGTAATGCCCTATCTTCCTGAAAGATAATCGATCTTTGTAGAAAAAAAAAGTTTATATATATATGACTATATAAACAATGCCTGAAAAAACGTCTTGGCGATTCCATCGGGACAACAGCATCGGCGCTTATAAAACATTGTATGTATTAATAATAACGTCTCTTTAGCACTTTTGTATAATAATAATGATAATTATTATTGTTAGGGCACCTAAGTAAAATTTAACGGCAATTTAAGTAGGCAAATCGTTTTCTCTTGTTATTATTATGTTATTATTCTATATAATTGTTGGTGTTGTTGTCCAATTATGTTCGTTTTGGGTTGATGAAAACGTGCCAATAGGCCAGTGTTCATATTTTGTGCGACAATATCATGTCTTGAGGAATTTCTATCGAGTGAATAACAACATTGCAAAGAAACTTTCTAATTTAGGCGAATTATTTATTTAAATATGATTTGATTCTTCCATCAATTAATTAAAATGTTGTTTAAGGAAAGTATAACAACTTCTTATTAATAAGTATGCTTTTCTTTAATTAAGGATTCATGTATAATCAGTTCAACTAAATTACAGTGGGGTAACAACGTGGTATTTTATGAAAATCGATTTATTTTTTTTGCGTTTTCACTCGATAGAAATTTCTTTTGGTAGGCTTAGTTTTGGTCACTGGCCTTCAAGTCTTTAAATAAATAAATATTATATCACAATGTGCTTGCCAATGCCCAACCCGTTGTTTTTTATTAGTCGATCTTGTGTGAGATAATTGCGCTGCCCCTCAAATAAGCAGCGTATTTTGAGTGGTTGTACATAAAATGTGATTTGGTTAATATGACTCATGCAAGAATCAGCCAGGTTCATTTTTATGTCCATGTGGCTATGGTTTTATAAAATACATTTATTATTATTATTAATAATAATAATAACAGTAGTTGTTTGAATTTTGGTGTTAGTCGTGAAAAGTCGTCATCGCCTTTCGGGGGTGGCAGTAACGGTAATAGTAACGGTGGCGGGTCACCGTTACTCGCCGTAAGTGGCGGTAGTGCGAAGCAGTCGCCCAAAAAGAACGGATTCGTTGTTAGTTCATCTTCGGTTGTCGGTGGTAGTGGCGGAGGCGGAGGCGGCGGGGGTGGCACCCCAACAAATGTGGTTGCGAACGAGAATAATAAAGTTGTGCGGGTGAACGAGCCGGCGGTTGTGACGCAAACGAATAATAACGGCAGCAAGTACGCGGACTACGTCAAAACTCATTCGAACAACAACAACAGCAGCAGCACCAAAAAACAGCAGCAACAGTCGCAAGAGGTGAATGGAACGTTGCAGAGGCATGCTGAACAAGTTTCGGCAACGGATTCAGGACCTCCTCCACCCCCTGCCGATGTACAAAAACAAAAGACCCTGGCTGAAGTGGATCCCACACCGGAGTTCCCGGATTATTTGACGTAAGTTACTTAAAATTTACTTTTAATGTCCCGATAATAAGTTTAGATACAATTTGAGTTCCAGTTTTTGCTTAAACTAGGTCTCTAAGTAGCCCTTCATGTCTCAGAAGTTGTTCTAGCACAGTATCTCTCTTTTTCCTTTTTGACTTCTGTAACGCCCCATGTTCTCCTACTTTTTCCAATACCTCGTCGTTTCTAACCCTTCCTATATCATGAATTTTTTTGCATCGGCCTATAACATCATAGCACCATCAACTTTTCGCACACGTACAGAGCCGTTAACCATTCGCGAGCATACTCAACGTTCCTAGGAATTTAATGTCCCAGGTTTAATATTTCATTTTATTTTGGGTTACATGT